TCCATACATTGCGGCACTCGGATAAGGGTGATAGCTTTGGTTGGACCAAGTTATGACCACCGTAGCTCAGCAATGGCGGCAATCGAGGTGTACGAGGAAAAAGCGGATGCCTTCATTGAAGGTGGAACCGCCGGAAATCAAAAAATGTTTAATTTGGCTAAGGCGACCACAGTTTTGATTCTAAAGAGAGCTTGTAACGCGTAGTTGAGCTGAGACACATGGGAATGGTATACAGGGTGGGCCAATATTATGGTTACAGCGCGCACAAACGCTCATACCAATTTTTTTCAGAGTTTATAACATTTCATTCAGTTTCATCCATTTCACAAGGTAGACTACATTATTTCCTTCCTAGTGCTGCCAAAGTTCCGACAGATTTCAAAAATAATGAAGTCTTCACCACCTCGTGAACCAATCACCACTTCGCATTTACGAGTACTTTTGACACGGTACATCTCCAGACGACTCATTGTAACAAGGCAGTAGGTATACTCGACGATTCGAAGAGTTGCGACATCTGTAGGAGGAGTATACAGAAGAAGCCGAGGGTTTCCTTTAGGAGGAGTGATAAGAAAAAAGGTGAAGGTCTGCGTAGCAGTGAAGCTCACTCTGGGCGTAACATTGCTGGAAAAATGGGTCTCTCATGAAACTTTCTTCGTAAAATCGTAGAAATTCATCGGCGCAACAAGACTCATACACCATTGGAAGTTTATCTTCTGAGTGAGCAGGCTAAAGAGAAGAAAAAGGACTCCAGACGAAATGGTTACAGTAAACTCGTGTTCACAAACGAGAGGATACTCACAGTTAAAAATATGCTACATAAAGAAAGAAACAGAATTCACGCGGAGTTGAAAGAAAAGGAGGTGTTGCAGAGTGAGGCTCGCTAATTTTCTTTTATGATCTTTGCGAGCGTCACCATCGAGGCCAAGACGCTGCTGATCTTTGTATTTCAAGGAGTCAAAGTCAATATAAAGCTGTGATCTCGCTGTGCGCAAGAGGACACCTTGGCTCCTTGAATTGGGCATATTGTCGGGATGAAGCTGCTCACCGCAGGAACGAAATTGCTCAGGCATCCCGTAAGAAAAGTTCCCCAACTTCATTACCTCTGATCAGTCTCTACTTAGGAGCTCCGACCTGAATTCCATGGAACTCCTAGCGTGGTTAACCTTGGAAGTAAACCCATGCGTTAGCCCGAAAGAACTGAAATAATCTCGAATGCTTTGCAAAAAACCGGAAACAACTCGTTGGTACTGGCTGCGCACCACCGCGGACCCTCATCGTCCTAGAACTTGAATGGAAGAAGAAGGCAACAGATTTCGGTTACGATGCACTATTTTAATGAACGATTAAATATAAACCCTTTTTCGTAATTGGTTTGTTTTATTAGCTTTCTATTCGTTTTTGAGGATGTGATATCTAAGTGATCATAATTTTGATCCACCCTGTATACGGAGCTCGGCATTCACGAATTGCAACAATTGGATTCAGCTTCTGTAAAGATATCTTCACTGATGGAAGCGCTATCAGCAATATCCTTTCATTGCAATCTGCTCACAAAGTCTTGACATTCATTTACGATTGAAGATCACGCCTCGCTACTATGCACTCGAACCTACTGGGGTTTTGCAGACAACATGCTCCTTCCTCGATTAAGAACCCAGAGGTCGCTTGAATTAAATTGTGGTCAAGTTCGAGGGTATCAGCCGTGTGACAAATAGCGAATATTGAGTAACTTTCCAGTATCGGGAAGGAGAAAACACCCACAGACAATGAAAGTTTCTGCTTTGCTGTACCTTCCCAAAAGTCTGTGAAATTTGTCTAAAGGAGGAGCGATAATATTATGACCAAGTATTGAAAATTATAAGGGGGAAACAAATCAAAGAAGTAGTTCAACTTCCGTTTCGCACGTGCCCTGGACGGAAGTCGAACTTTACAATACTCTCCCTCCGTGGTCTTTAGTAGGGTACGGGAGAACAGAAACTTGATAACTTTATATAATAAATAAATAAATTAAGAAGTGTTGGATAGATATATAAATGTAAAGGAGAATACTGGCAATGGCAGTGGCAATACCTATTATTAAACGTTACAAGGGAAGAACGAAGACAAGTAGGCTATGGAAGGTAATATGCTTGCGAAAAAAAGGAGACTTGGGAGGGGTCTAAGCTAGTAAGAGTAGTAAGGTAATGTTAATTGAGTGATGAACTTATACTCGCTGAAAATTAATTAGTTATTTGACTGATAGTGTCATACTACATGTCTAAAATTCTTATGAGTGGTTTATAGCTTAAGTGGTATTATGGGTTATAAGCTTATTTCTAGCTAAACATTTTATGAGACCAGTAATAAAAACGTCCTTAATATAACCCAGCTGACATGCTTGAAGTCCAACACACTTAAGTCTGTCCAAAAAATCACCCTTATAATACACGTCCTGGCGGTACTTAATATTTCAGAATACAATGTTCTAATTTTAATACCCCTAGAAACGTTGGTAGTATTGCAAACTACTGTAAAACTGTTCAAATCGACCAAAGTCAAGGGAGCTTGAAATATTTTTATCAAAATAGCCAACCTGCTTAAGTACAAAATCGTTTCTTAACGTGGAACATGAAACGCCGTATTCGAACTCATCATTCAATTTTTCACTCCTTTATTTATATTGCACATAGAAAACATTGGAAAGACCTAAAAGGGTAAAAATCAACAAAGGGCTGATACATGCACAAATCACCATTCATTTTATTCTTTTCTGGGTCCATTCGTTGGTTCCATGGTTTCAAGGGTGTACGTATAGATTTTGAATTTACGAGATCTGTATTTAACGTAGTATTCAAAATGTCACCAAGTGAAAACAGACCCACCTCTCCATAGTGTTGGAAATGCAAGGCCAATCGGAAAATTGAGGCGTATTGTGACCTCCTACTGCGTAAGGGCAACCATCCAGCACAGCGACAGAAAGCCCAGCTCGTTCCAAACGCATAAATGCCACCGAGGTCCTTTACCGAAAGTCTGGTTCGGTAGCGAGATATCGATACGCAAAATATGTAGACCAAGATAGACCGAATCTTACTAATTTGTTTATTGCAGAACAAAGTCGAATTTGATAACAAACAATTCGGTAACAAACGAGAACAATGTACAATGAGGGAAATAAAGAAATAAACAAATCCTTGTGAGGAAGGGGGAAGACGGCGATGGAGTGACGTAGGTGGGGGGCTGTAACTCCAAATACTGCAGAACAGAACTCCATCTCCTGGCTCGCTCCTATGAGATCTGTTTCCCGCCCAAGGCCCTCCTCTTTCTAGGGCAGATTACTGACCTGGTTACTAATATGCCGAGTCCCACATCGGCTGATATTCTACTCTCTTTATTTCGCGCTACTCTTCCACTCAGCTTTCTTCTTATACACTCATATAACGACTTTGCACAACCTACGGCATTTTGGAACCGTAATAATACAACGCTGGCTCTGGTGATCCTATTTCACAAAAAACTCAACCATTTTGCACTTTTGTGCCTGCCGCACTATAGAACTGTCCCGCAGCGGCTTGTCTCTTTATGGACTCATCCAACATAGTTAATATTTCCACCATCAACTCCCAATTCTCAACATTTTTCTCGATGACCGGAATCCATGCAGTTACCACCTGTCCTCCTTCGGCCAAATGCTGCGCTCCAGTCTGGCTTGCTGACATCATCGAGTTTCCTCTAACCTGAAATACTGTCTCCATATCCCCAATCTCTGTTACGAGATTGTCTTTCCAATTCACCCGTGTTAGTGTCCGTGTCCATCTGATCATCGTCCTTTGGCGGGCTTCGGTGTGACTGCTGACGCACGGTGCGTTGTACTTCTCCCAGTACATTTCGAACCTCTCGACCGTTAAACTGAAACATGTCGCATATACCAGCAATCAACACGCCATCTCGTTCTGTGCTATCAAAATAAACGGTAAGGTCATCTATTGTGTCAATGCCTTTAGTGCGTAGGGTTCTGAACAGTTCCTGCCCAAACTTCTTATATCCCACTTCCTGGCTTTCAAGTCTTCCAGCATTTGCCTATGCCACTCGCTTCACTTTACAATACTCGGAACAACTTGGTTCTGTATTTCTCCGCTATACGCGCCTCTTCCAATACTTCCCCTACTTTATTGGGTAACTGCCTAATCCCCACCAAGACACTTTTTATCTCTTCACTAATCTCAACTACTGAAACTCCTCAGCTTGGCTATTCACCATATTTCTGGAACACACTGCATTATTAACCATTTCTTTGACTATGCAGACGACAAAGGACGAACGGCGGCAAAAGAACAATATGAGTAACGAACAGTGGCGCTGATACGACCTCTTCAGCTTCACACTCACTGCGCGTTTTCGCTAGTCACTCGTTCGTTCCACTCCGATCTAAACACACGACCTTTCTTAGAAACGCCCCCTTCCTTATTGGCGAATCTATCCTTGACTACCGTTCTTGCTGATCTGCGGCCTCTTTCACTCTTCGACCTCTCCGGTCCGGTGTATATTTCACGATCGATAGCTCACTCTTGCGGTTCGTCCCCACGTACCGAACGTCTGGTTTGGTAGCGAGATATCGACACGCAAATGTGGAGACCGAGATACACCGAACCTTACTCATTCGTTTATTGCGGAACAAAAACGAATTCGATAACAAACAATTCGGAAACAAACGAGAACAACGTGCATACAATGTGGGAAACGAAGAAATAAATGAATCCTTGTGAGGAAAGGGGAAGACGGCGAAGGAGGGACGTAGGTGGGGACTGTAACTCCAAATACTGCAGAACAGAGCTCCATCTCTAGACCCCCTTTTATAAGGGTCTGTTTCCCGCCCAAGGCCCTCCTCTTCCTAGGGCAGATCATTGACCTGCTTACCGACAGTCCAATCGTTTCGCCAAACGTCATAGCTGCAGCGAAACCATAAAATTCAACGTATCGATCATCGATCAACCTTGTCCTTACCCTTCAACAATGTCAATGCCTAGGTAATCACCATCAATAAAGCCACCCGCTGCATAAATACTACCGTCAAGCGTCCCACACCAAATGCCGCCGGATTGGAGAGGGAGCGGTGTCATCCAAACATTTGTCAGTAGCAGGAACGCGCTTAACAGATTGTGATGAAAATTTCCGACTCCCCAGACTCACAAACATATCAACTCACGTAGAAAAAATCAGTTTGCGCGCACCACTACCATATAATTTGATTCTGACTACTTGGAATTTCTTCAAGATGCACACCTCAGCACAATGAACAAGCTCTCGACATGAATACTTATCGGCAGAAACACAAATTCCCACGCAACACTAACAACAGGCTTCCTAGAGATCTTCGAAAAAGCAAATCATAACTTTTTTCAAATCAAACTCTTGAACGCAAGGAACCTGGAGTTCCTGCAATTGAAGCAGACAAGCAGCATGAAGTACGCTCGGGACATTCGAGTAGCTGATCTGTATCTTACCAGAGCAGTGGAATCTCACCATAGCTTCAAGGCTCGACCCTTCATAATCGATCGTCTCTATTCCTCCTGAAAGAAGAGTCGAAAGCGGAGATCACGTTTGCAAAAATAGCTCGTCGCAAAGGATGTTCACTGAATGTGTATATCGTAGATCATGACCGTACGATGCCGACTTTCGAGCACGTCAATTGTGACCATTTTCTTGAAGTAGCTTGACAATGGGTATGCAGCAAGTACGACTCGATGGGCGTTGACAGAGATCCTGTAAAATTTCACCTTTGGCCCAACTTCATGGTTGTTTTTCGCTTGCCTACCTCGGCCATCAGTCACCCCACAAAAGCACATATATCACGTAATTCGGTGACCAGGGGCTATCGTGAGCTTGGCCTTAAACACGTGCGTATTCGCCAAAGACAAGGAAATGGATGAAGGCACGCTGACCCTTCTAGCACACACTTCGCCGATTTTTCTGATACGGCTAGGAATCTGGGAATGAAGATGAATGTCTCTGACCCTGGCAAGGATAGGGAGCTTCGTTTTGAAACTCTTCAGCTAACACCCGTGGAGCCGATCATCAACGAAACGGATACTGATCGAAAATGAAAAAATAGAGAAGACGGAGCAAAAACTGAATTTTCGAGCACGTGGTCGGATACATCCGAAATTTGCGACTGCGACGATCCTGTTGCCATATGTATGTAACATAAGACTGGACGAAAATCAATAAGATATTGCGTCAAGGTAATTAATAAAGTTGGTAAGTCCATTACCTGCGCTGACGATCGCCGCTCTGCCACGGACACCGCTGCTCTTTTCGAGTACCCCGATGCAGAATATGCAGGAGCGCTGCGAATGTAGGTACTGCATATGATGTTGCTACTTGCGTCTTCCTTCTCCCTCTGACGAATCTGCGTGCCCTACTACCTCATTTTCTTCACGTGTGGACATGTCATATTGTTAGGAAGTAGACTATTATCTGAATAACTTTTATATTACAAAGAACTACGATACTAACGAGAGTGCGATATGCATGGAACTTGCCAGTTGAACTATTAACAAAAAGACAAGCTCAAAGGCAAACAAATTTATCATTGTAATCCTTATGCGTTTCAACACCAACACAGCAAGAGTTTATTGAAAACAGGAAACACAAAAAACAAACAAAAAATGAGATGCGGGAAGGCGGAAAAACGAAAAAGACGACCCGGTGTGCGATGGCCACTAAGACGAAACGAAGGGGAAGGAGTCTTAGAAGTAGCCGGTCCTCCTCGGACTGCGCAGCCTGTCGAATGAAACAGGAGTTCTCCCCATGTCATGTCATAATGCGCGTTGTATGATCTCTCACCCCACACACACTCTCGCACATCTCTTAACAGCCATTGACACGTCTTACGTGTTTTGATCTGACCGTTTTTGACGGCTCGCATTTTTATTGGGTAACCCCCTACAGGGGTCGTCTTTTCCGAACACATAAATAAAGTAGACAGAATTTATTTATTTATTTATTTATTTATTTATTTATTTATTTATTTATT